TCCAAACGTTCAGAATGAATAAAGAAATGCAGCCTTTGAGTGCTTTGAGCGAACTCTAAATATTTTTTGATTTCAAAATAAAAAAGCAGGAGTATACTTTCTTCGACATAGAACAATCCTAGGGGGTGGGAGCATAAAATTTCCGACTTTACATATTTTGGACCACCCTAATGTACATACGTAGATACGTGTGTATATATGTACCTATTTATGTATGTATGTACCTATTTAGGCATGGGTAAGCGTGTGCCCGTTAATGAATATTCAAAAAGCAATTAAGGGTTTCTAATTAAAACAATGGAATGGGAGAATTTATATTAATTTTTAAAACAAACAATATAATTAACAAAATCAGAAATTAAATAATAATGAAATGAAAGGAAATGTAAACATAAAGGGAGAGGGGGATGGTGCATAGGTAGACCATGCAAAGTATTCTAAAGGTGTCAAGCGAGCAGCGTTGATGAGAATAATGAAAGGTCAATAAAGTGAAGGTTTCTAGATCCATGCCAATGCCAGTTAATAAGTGGAGTAGCGCTAATGTAATCGTAAAACAAACTTACATATAGATATTAAATGAAAATATGCAATGCATCGCAAAAACGTTAAACACAAATATTCTCTTTTAATTCCATACCTGCAAACTATTATTTTCCCACATGCGCGTGCCATATTTTTTGAATTTTGTTTTTCGTTTGTTTTGAAAATGAAAAATACTTATTTTAACTTTAACTTAACTAACTTTAACTTTAAGTCTAAAATAAACGAATATTCTCTACGGTCATAGAAATTTCTGGTATGGCTAGGGTTGCCAACCGTACTATAATATATAGTATTGTACTGTTTTTCCGGTCGGCGTACTATATACTGTTGGAAAAAAATATAGTACGCAAAAATACTATATTTCTTCAATCATAACTATAAATATATTCAGTAATTTACACGAAAAAATTTTTATTAAAATGGATGACCTTAATTCTGAAATAACAATATTAAATGAAATACTCTTTAAAGTAAAAGGTCATTGTGAGTTTATAAGCAAAAGAGATTATAATCAAAGCAGGTAACATAACTGAGAAAGAATTAACAAATTTACTTAAAATAATTTCATTTTCCCTCAGTTAAAAATCGTTTTTCCTTTTTCTTTAAAATAAAATACTATATATATTTGAAGTGTACTATATTTATTAAAATTTTTTTGAAAAGTACTATAAATATCTTAGAATATGTTGCCAAGGTATGGCGCTCATATTAATAATTACAATTTAAAAGTTTTGCAAATAAAGCAATCCCAAGCAAACGTTGAAGTTTAGGAAAATATATTTATGGAATACAAATTATATCTCAAAAGATGCCCAATGTTTGGGTCAGATTTTAAGTAAATCAGCCGTTTCGGAGTGAAAAATAACTTGTCTTTCGTAGATAGTCTTGCCATGTTTCGTTCAATCGCATATTAAATTCACCTCGGCCTTTTAAATTGGTGGAAACCACCTTCAAACATATTTTATAAGTAAAGCTTACATTAACTTCTCTAATTTCTAAAAAGGTGGCAGTACTCGTCAAAGTATTTCAGAATTAAGGCTTACATAAACTTTGCTAATTTTTACTTAACTGGTCAATTAAATTGAGTTTGAATTTGTAAATAGATGGCAACCCTATTCAAAATATTTTTGAAAGAAGTTGTTTTCGAGCTCTTTATGTATGGCCTCTCATTTAATTGAACCGACACTTTCTAACTATAGGGAACTCTCCTCAAAAAACCGCACTAACTTGTCACTAAAATTGATTTTGAATTTCTAAACACATGGCAACCCTCTTCAAAAATACTTTCGCAAAAGAACTTTTTTAAAAATCTCATTTTACAACCATATTAAAATATTTCCTTTAACTTGTAAATTAATCGATTTTGACTTTTTAACTGTTCAAAAATATTTTCGAAATACACCCACATTGTTGTACTATTTTATTTAACATACTAATTATTTCATATTAACTTTTGAAAAGGTAGCAGCTATCTTAAAAAAATTCAATTCATTAGTCCAGGTTGCAATCTATCTAAACTCCAAATTTCATTGGAATAACTATACTCACACTCCCACACAAGCTTTCACATTTTAAATATTAGTAAGATTGAGATTTTGCTGTTTGAAAAATTATTGTGGCTTCTTTGTTGAAAAGCTATGTTTACTTATAATTAAAAAAACATCAAATAATTAAGTAAGTTTATAGCTAAGCTACATGTTTTGTTATATTTACATAAGTACACATGCACTTGAAACAGTTCCTTTTACTACACGAAAACTAGATTATATGCGTAACTAAATACATATACTACTGACAGCGGTAAGCCTAAGCAGCTTTGTTCTATTAGCCAGCTTATTTGCTTCTCCTTCCCACAATAGCTTACTCCCAAATGGCTGCTACTGTTGCACGCTCAAAAAAGCTTCCCTTTATTATGCTAACACTAAATTATGTACAAACATATGTACAATATTTTCCCCTCTCTTTATCTGCGTAAATATTTCCCGGACTCCTACTATGATTTTCATATTTCCCATCACTTGGTTTGCTTCTCTTATTTGCCTCCCCATTTCATGTAACAATGCTTTTTGATATGCGTTTCTCGCCTAATAACAATCATTCATCAGCCACTTAACTTTTATTTGATCCGATTTGTGCGTCGTACGCTACTTTTCGCTTTCTCTTTTTATTTTTGCGCTACTTTTCCTTTTGTTCATAAATAACTGCAGTGATTTTGTTCCTTTCTTAGATTGTAGTCGCATTTCACTACCAAAATTCTAATCTCATATCGTAACCTACTTTTATCTGGCGTTGATTTAATTTCGAATTTGAACGAATTTGTTGCTTGATTTATAACAAAGTTGGTTTAATTTTTAGGTAAAAGAGAACTGAAGAGACGTACTTCTAGCATCCCATGGAGAAATTCGACCAAGTACCATAATCTCATAACCACAAAATCGCATCTTATTAGATTTAGAGCCGTTTTCACAGTGGAGAATTAACTCAGATTCGGCAGTTAACTTCCTAATCGTGTACTGAAAATCTTCAGTAATTTTATGTATTCATTACCTAGACCTAGGAGCCTTTCCCTAGGCTCCTCCAAACCTGTTTCAAAGATGGATTTCGCTGCTCTGTCTTAAGTCAACTCATTAAAGTTTTAGCTGAAGCATTTGCGTACGGGTTGTGCCCATGCTTTGTTATGGTCAGCGTCTGGATACCTACTCTGAAATTCTTGAAGGCTTCGATTACGTTCCTGATTACACGGATTATTGTGTCTGAGAAATGGTTCCAAGCACCTTTTTCTGTATTAACATTCTGTCAAGGGCAGAATTGGTGGTGCGAGGAGGCTGTAGAGGGTCAGAACTTGAGGGAATGGTTTCTCGCAGGAGCTGACCATCAATATCAAGTATAGGCTTCCAGACTTCTGTAGCGTTTTTCCATCAGAAGTACCTGCCGTTAAAGGAGTAGTAGTAATAAAAATCAATAAAGAAGTACGCCATCCTAATGACCAGCTGCGAATAAGTTAGTAAAATTTCGGATACGCAGTTTTGTAGCCCTTTCAATTTTGTATAATAAAGTGCAATTGGAGTAAAATACCGTTGGTTTTTGGCACTTTTTTGTTGATGTCGTTATGGAAGAAAATGCATAACACTGTCAACAAAAAAGAAGAAAAATTGCCAAAAATCAACGGTATTTTGCAGCCAACTAAAAGTTGATCTGTTATACAAAAGTTATATAGGCTATAAAACTGCATATCCTGAAATTTTCTAAAAATAGTATAAATAAGGTGAAATCAGCACGACACTCTCTACTAGGCAGTCCAGCTTTCCATAGCCTAAGGTACTCTGGACAATTTATATTAGCCGTTTACGAAGCTTTATAATTGTTTTGCGGTCTTTCACCGAATGAGTAGTGGTTACCGCTCAAAATTACGTAGTACTTATCGTAAAATAACTCCCAAGTCATTTACGTATCCTACAGGAAACGATCACTTAAACCTACCCTACACTAAGCCAAAAGTACAATGGTTTTTTTAGCCAAGTTATTGTTCGTTTTTTCATGGTAAATACACCGATTGTAAAAAATTTGATTTAAGTTGAACATTTGAAAACTCATTTGTATGTCTTACTGTAGCTGCCTGCTGTTATTTGTTGACTTCCAGCAGTTTCGAGTACGAATGCCGTCAGCGGCAAAACATATTTTTTTTTATTTATTTATTTTTTTTTTTGTTTTTCTTAATTACGAAAAAGTATATGTGAAGTGCAGAACATAATCGTATACAAACGAAAAAATCTACAACCAAAAGTATGGTTAATATAAACAAAAGTGCGGTTAATATTACCAAATCATTGTTGAAAATATCAACCAAAGCATTGTTAACATAAACCAAAACTAACAATGATTCCCTTTCAGGTTTGAATTTGGTAATGTTAACCAGTTTTTAGTTGATTTTTTCTCAGTGTAACCCAATGGCTCGACAACCTTTGATAAGATTTGTGTAACTATTTATGAGATTATTCTACACTAGAAGGCTAGAATAACAAGCTTGGAACTTCTCGTAATGAAACATGGCGACGGTTTCTTCGTATGCTAATGATAATATCGCAAACATGGATTAGGTTGAGAACGATAAAACACCCGTTGGCATATAGTTTTTACTTGAAACTATTAGATCGATTAGACGCGGATCTGCTGAGAGAAAAGTTGTCTTGCATGGCTACACTGTTAATATATCGACAAAGAATGGGCCAAGGAGCACGGCCGAAGCAAGGCAAATCTTTCATTTATATTTCCTCCCTGACATGTATCCTAAGAGTTATTCCCAGTGCTTAAGATTAATTTACTCTTTAACAGATAACAAACTCAGTAATCGCCAAAAATTAATTACAGTTTAACCTTTATACTCATTGCCATTACACTCGCGCATATTATTTCGTATATTTAATCCAACCATACTTTTATCATATTATTTCCCATAGTAACAAGCGGGTGGCGAAATGCAATCGACTGATTCTGGAGATGGAGCAAAAAACTTCAATCAGCACATCACCAGTCACTTGGCATCAACATCCACAGCGGGAGCAACAGCAGCAGCAGCAGCAGCAGTAGCAGCAACAACAACAACGATACACGACGCGACCACATCATTCAGCACCACACCCGCAATACAGAACAACAAAAGCAAAACACTCAATCACGATACACCCAGCAAGAATCCCTTCAAGCAAACAACAGCTCCGTGGAGCAGCGATCAAAGATTAGCGCAACAACAACAACAGAATGGCCGCAACAACACTTACAGGAACAGCGCTCAACATGCTACCGAAGCAGGCGGTGGCATTTTTGGGGTCGGTGGCGCAAATACAACAACGGGAGCAGCAACAGCACAGGCAACACCGACACCAATTTCGAGCACAGATCCGACGGCCATCAAGACGCCAGGGCGACTCTATATGACACCACCACAGCCGCCACCGCCGGATCATTGCCGGCAGGAGGATTACCGCGCCGCCGGGACATGGGCCACCTTCAAGAATTGGATGATCGGTTGGCGCGGTTCACGACAACTCGTCTTGATCATTGTGGCCATTGCGTTGTTATTGGATAATATGTTGTTGACAACTGTTGGTAAGTGAAAGTGTAGACAAACTTAAGAAATTTATGAATTAAAAAATGTTGTCATTCCATACATGTACATATGTACTATGTACATTAGACCGTGCCACCCTAGAAGCAACTAAAAAAAGTTCCAAGTGAGTCTAAAGAATTTTTTCGAGGCAATTTCGAAAGGAATGTTTTTTTTTTTGTTTTTGACCGAACCGAGGGATTGCCTTTTCACATTTTTGGGTGACACCTCCATTAACAGTTAAAACTATTTTTTTTAATAGTTCTACTGTCATAATTGAGATATTTCCTTAGCAAAATTATAATGATTTTTGATACGATTTAACTTGCCGACATTAGGGTGGCACGTTAGTGTTATAAAAATTAAGATCTGGTGGGTACGTGCAAGAACAGGGTACTTTAGATCGATGAACTTTGGAAAAACAAATTATCTTTGGGCCAAGAACATCGATATATTAAATTTTAAGAACCAACTGTAAATGCCGAAGATATGAAGAAATATGTAAAACGGAGACCCCTATGTTCGGCCAAAAAAATTTGTTACCAAATTGTCTTAAAAAATACTTTAGACTCAGGGGTGTACGGCGAACCTTCTTTTCTGGTACGGTATAATCTAGATACATAGTATGTATATTTTTGCCTATGTGCGTGTGTTTAAAATAAGTTTGTTGCTGCTCAAATTTACAATATTCACTTAACGCCTTTATGGTGAACCGCATAAATTATGTGATTTTTTTCTTTTTACTTCTTTCATTCATTCATTTTCCCTGAGTATTTATCTGCACTCAACGCAGGTCTGTCAGCACGCCAATTTATGCAGCTCAAAAGCACTGTTCAATCACCTGAAAGATGTCCATTTACCGTTTCTTGTTACTCTTCTTTTCTCTTACCACACTTTCAGTGCTGCCAATTCATGAATAAAATATGCAATACGACGTCTCAGATATGTAGGTGATAAAAAAATAAAAATAATATTATCGCACCACTTAACGTAATGAATGTGCTATCTCGTGATTTTTCTTTAGTAGCACGTCAATTCTTTAATGCTTCGTAATTTGTGGGTTGTTCATAGTCATTAACTGGATTTTTTTTTGTGCCAGTGTGTGTGAAAGCAATGAAGTAGAAAAGTGGCGTAGAATGAATTGCGAAAAAGTGTGAGCTTTAATTGCGTGTTGAAGATGTGCAAAAAATTATGTGGCGCTTATAAGGGGGGAAAACGGATCAATACGTGGCTAGACGGGCACCACTCATATCTTTCTTAGTGGGTGGGAAGTGGAAGGTGGAAGTTGGAAAGAGGCAGTGTTGAACTTATACACAGATGGATCGCAACTTGATTAAAAGTTTGATTAAGAGGTCCTTTGCAAGGAGCTCTCTATTAATCCCAAATTTAGGTTTCCAGATCACTTCACGTTTTTCATGTAAATAGTCGGCTTTAAATAAGCAGTCGCTGACCACGCTCAACGGTTGCCTCTGATTATTTGCTAGTCAGACTCATACGGGACAAAGTTGTGTTGCTGGAAACTGCGATGTCGTTGAATTGGCCAGATTAAAATAGAGGATAAATTCTCTTAATTTGCAGGGTACGATCAAAACTGCTGATAGGCTAGCCGGTCAGGGTACCCTTGGTGAAGCGCAGGTCATCTCTTCGGACATATGTAGGAGCTCCTGTAGCAATCTGTGGACTACTCCTGGACAGATAGGCTTATAGCCCAACTCCGGCATGCAAAGTCACAAAGTTCTCTAGCTAGTGCTTGACCGCGAGCGATGAAAAATATGTCTGCCGCCGGCTAAGTGCCAAATCTGGGTTCTACTGGGTGTCCTAACCTCGCTGTTTCACAGAAAGTGGGGTTTCCCCAGCATTCACTTGCTGCTTGTACGTTGCTGTACCTAAAACGTATTTTAAAAATGGCATACCTACCAAGTTCTTCCCCGGAAGGATCGTACCATTCCTGCCCATTCGTCGGATTTGCAGTTACCTTCAATACCTTCTGCATTCAGTGAGAGATCTTGTGTTGTCCAGGCAAGAATCTAGGGCCTTCAGGGCTACTTGACTGTCAGAGAAGATAAAGAGCTGCCTCTTCTCCTTTGATCTTCTTACGAAGTGCCGAGTAGACTCTTGGGTAGCCAGCACTGCAGCGATCTGGAAGCAGAAAAATGTTTCTACTCCCAGTTTTGAAGAAAGGACTCTTCCTCCGAACTTCCATCGAGTTTGGAGCCATAAAAATACATGTTTATACCGTTTCGAATGTTATGTGCCAGGTGCTCCACGCACAGTGCTGCATAGATCCACTGAACTATCCTAGGTGAGACATCCCAAGATACTACAATCGCCTTTTTATATGTGAAGAGCGCTGTTGTGCATTCTTAATATTTTTTCATGTTTCCAAACATCTAGTAGGCTTACTGTGGCTGTCCCAATTTCGATGTTTTGGCAGATGCTTTCTAAAGACTAGAGCACCATACTCAGCGCTTAAACTGAGCGTGAGTTGCGCCACTTAAATGGTAAATTCTGAAAGGATTAAACTTCTAAAACTACCTACCTCTATCTAAATAAATTCCTATTCAAATTAACCCACATTAAGTGGACTCGCACACCCATAATTTATTACTTTATTATACCGGAGGCAAGTGAAAATGATAGTACTATTAATAGTAAGTCAGCAAAATTTCGAAGAAATCACCTTTAATAAACTAAATAAGTAAAGCCGCAAAATGTACATACATACAAAGGGAACATACAAGCATATCTGTATAAAAGTATCTCAGAGTAAGTGAAAGGTCGGTTGACTGCATATTTTAGCAATCCATAAGATGGTGCTAAGTTGTTTTAGGATGCGATTTGATTTATGTGCGTAGCGTAACATCTCCGTCGAGCGAAGAAATATAACTTTTACTCTTACTTAAGCAGTGAATGATAATCAGCACCATTAGCCAAAAAGGAAGAATCAAATTTCTTTTTTTCGCATTTTTTTTCTCGCGCGGAAATCTTCTTGTTTTTACCATTCGTCGCTACTTGCACCTTTTCCATTTCCATTCACTGTTAGTTGGAGTTAACTTTTAGTTAGATTTTGAGGTAGCTACGTATAATTACGGTGACCATTCGTGCCGATTTTGGCGGGACAGTACCGATTTTGAGAAAATTATCTCGCTGAATATTTTTTAATATAAGCGCCCCGATTTTAAATATTTGTACCGATTAAATCCCGATTTTTAGTGTTTTCTTTATTCATTTATTAAGACTCCCCCTGTACTCTGGTCCAAAAACAATTTTCATACAAGCGAGGTAGCACTTGTTTATCACAACGGACATAGAATATATGGGTGCTATAAATATAGCCAGCATCCTTATTAATAAGATAATAATATAATTAATGAAATTTTAAAAAATAATAATAATACCCTCAAACGAATCGGGGATATGAAAAATAGAAGCAAATATAAATAGGGAAGAGACATTTTTGATTTCTCTGGCTATTCCCCTTTCGATTATTTAATATTTATTACTTTTGATGAAACTGTGGCTCGTTATCTAACAAAGACCATGTAAGTTAAAACTTCAAACTTTGTACAAAAATCAGCAAAATTCGAAAAATTTTCATAAAAATTTTGAGTTTTTAATTATATTTCTTAGAAATATTCTGAGTATGCAGTAACCCATTCAATTCAAAGTGCAAAGTTTAGGTAGCTAGTACTTACCGTTCATATTTGGTATTTTTTTTTTGTGAAAGATGTTGCTCATAGAAATTGAATTGTTAAAAATAATGGGCCTCATGCATAAAAAGTGAGCTTAAGCTCCGACTCGATTTTCAGTACAAATTCTTGAGCTTGAGCTCACCCTTTCAGTGCAAAAATTGAGTCTGAGCTTAAGCTCACTTTTTATGCATAAGGCCCATTGTGTATGGAAGAAAATGCGCGAACAAAAAATTGCCAAAACTCAACGGTAAGTCCAAGCTTCTTCCAACTTGCACTTTATTATACTAAAATTTAATGGGCTACAAAACTACATACTCAAAGCGATTCTATAAAACCGGATTAATATGTTTCAAATTGTGATTTACATGGTTTTTTTTCATATATTAAGTTATATTTTCATAAAAAAATAATAAAAATTTTAAAATTTTTTTCTCTTTGTTTTGTTTTAAATAAAACTGTAT